TTATCACAGCGTACTTTGCACAGAGAGTTCACAACCTGAAAGAGTCTCTTCGAGTCGCCAGCACAGTCTTGAATAAGTTGAGAAAAGTATTTCTTCTTTGCATCTTTGAGTTGTGCACAGTACTTGTTGCATACCTTTCGATACTCAGAAACGTCTGATGGCAAGTTGCTTTTTCTCATCCTTTTCTCACGTTTTCGGCGTTGACGTTTCAGTTTCTTCAGGTCATCACTAAACCATTGGACTCTCGGTCTAACAATAAGGCTCTTATGTTGAACTGGGGCGTGGTTATCCAGTATGGTGCGCAAAACACSATCATAGTTTGTCACAAGTTCATCCTTTGGCAGGCGATAAAGTTCAGAATCAACAATGTCTCCTTTAAACGCTTCCAAGTCAATCTGTTTATAAGTACATCATGTCTGATTGTTGTCATGGCACATATTGCCTATACTTGTATATTGAGGTCTGTATGGGATTTCGGCATGAAGTTTATACCTCAGGTCCGATTACCACAGTCAACTGAAACAAATATGGCGGCTTTCTTGACAAGTAATCGTGCAGAGACAGAGACAGAGACACTTGCTACGAAGGAATCACCGACAAATATAAAATTGACTCCTGTAAAAGCCGTTTGTCTCCGAAGAAAAAGCTCGAAGAAACGAACACAATGTCTGACATGTAAATTTTAAAATGCAACTAACAGTTAATCTGCGAGAAAATCTAGAAAATACAAACGCTTGCCTTGGACAAATGGACAATTTAAATGTAAGAAGATGCCAAGAGCAAAAGACAACAATAGTTACAACTTTAGTTATAAATTCAAATTGAGCACTCTGCTGAACAGAGCAATAATATTCCACATTATATTAAGTACATAAACCTTTGCATTGGTTTGATGTTTAGGTCTGGTTAATATTATGTCATCTTTGCCCAAGATTATTTTAAAATTCCACAATAAGTTATAAGCTTAATATCTCCTAGAAAATTCACTATCAAAAAACTCAAGACAATCCAAAGTAAAAATAAATTTTGCTAATATTATGTAAGCATATAGCACAGTAACACAAAAATCGCATCAGTGGTGTGGTTGTTATTTTTATAATCTTGATCTTCTTTTTTTAATAATTGGCATCAGTTTGAATACATCAAAGATTCAGCATATTTTGATGATTGTTTTTGAGCTTTTTACYATCACAAATGCAATCTGTTCTCTGACATGCAATGTAACATGCTAGTACATTTTGTTCATGTAAAAGATTTCTATATCATTGATCATAATTTTCAACAACCAAATGTATCTTATATTTTATTTCTCTGTACAGTGAGATAGCCTTAAGTCTCTTTAGTTTGATATTCCTCGCAAAWGATTCTTTATTTTGTGCTTTTAGCCTTGCAATATTTATTATTGAATCAAACTTGATATCAAATTTCATTCTGGTAGTATTATAGACCATTATAGGGACTAACCCCCCATGCCCCTACTCTATGCATATATTGCAAAACACAGATCACTGCCTGGGACGTTTCACCCTGCCTGCAGGGTTTCATTCTTAACTAATTAGCGCCTGATAAGATTTAGTTATCAACTAAGAATTCAGTGAGGCGTAAAGAAAGACAATTTCCTTTTCTTGCATTGTGTTCATGCCCCAGTGAATTCATGGTTGATAACTAAATTTTATTAGTTGTTGATTGTTAAGAATTGTTTCACGCTTTTCTGTTATGCACTCTACATGGTGCAGAATTAAAGTCCACCTCACCCAATTTTTTTTATATTTGAAATTAAAAGTTTAGGAGGTATTAAGCACAAATTCACAGAAAAAAATTTCGAATTTCCAAATTATATATTTTTTTTATGCTTGTTAAAGTCGGCCAAACGATTTTTGGCCGAGCGCGAGGGGAGCCTGGGTTGATGACGTAGAGGGAGTAAGTCGACCTTCGCTGAATACAAAGTTTACTTGACAAGTGTCCCAGATATAATATTACAAATCTTTATTTTCTAAAATCTTAACGTGGGACTATCCAACCTCTGAAGGCAAATCTATTGCTAGTAAAGATTCTTTTGACGATTTGAACGATATTTTTTACGTCTGGGCTATAAAAATGGTCGCCAAAGTGATTTGACACGAACCGAAGTGTTGAGTTATTTACGGCCCGAGGTAAGTAAACTTCTTTCAAAATGTAGTAGTATTTACAGCTGTTCGAATACCAGGTTCTCTTGTTTCAGATTTGACTTTTACTTGGACTTTGTACGAGTGGAACTGCTGCATGTAAAGAGCACATAAGCTTTAAAAACTAACATGTTCTACATATTATGTAAGCTTATAATCGAAGATAAACATTCCAACAGTATGACACTGACAGCATCTCCCTGCTTTGATAAATGGTATCTTCGTTAATCAGCTAAGTGAAGGACTTATTTGAAGGAAAAACGTACTCATGCATGATCGAAGAAGCGAAAGCTTACTATTCATGATCTGCCCGTGGTTGGGATATTATCATGGGCCTACAAAACTTTGTCTTCGTTGACGCCGAGTCCAAGCTGAATGATAGGGATGTTCAAGCTGAGAAAACCCTCTGAATGCAGTCACTCGAAGAAGGTGCATATAAGAGACAGAACAAAGTATGACACATGATAGTGCCTTTAGAAACAAAAGGAATGTTGAAAAATTAATTAATTAACATTAATGGAAAAACAATGATTTCTGGGATTTCAATGGGTTCACTGCATTTTATTTGTTGTTGGCTGGCTTTGGCGCTTCATTTTTTCYGTTTTTTGGCAGCAGGTGCACGTTTTTGTGTTTTTTTGCTGGTTGGTTTCTTGTTTGCTGAAAATGTAACAAAATCAGTATCAGGTACATTACATGACTTGTATATTTTACACAATAGTAAGCTTATGTGACTTTGTAGAGTGCCTCACAGACACTCTTTTTTTAGATTTTTGTCTCAAATAATCAAAAGCCCTTTTCATCGAGTAAAACTAACATGTCGTTGATTTTCTTTTCTTTGTTGTCTCAGTGCTGTTTAGATCTGGTTGTGGCTGGGCATCTTCTGCAACATAAAATATTATATGAGAACTCATGTTTTTATTTTCCTGTTCAGCCTCACATGTAATTTACAAARATATTTTCTAAATTGCTAGAATGGATCCTTATMATAAGGCTACAATGTCAGATTAGATAATATTTTCAAAAAGTACTTTTTGTTCGAGGAACTGCTTTAACAGTCATTTGTTTTCTGATATTCCTCTTTTCAATTGCCTCACTCCTGGGTTGCTTTTCAAACACTGAATTCATTGGTTCAGGAGTCATATCTTGAAGTTCCTGGGCAGCTGCTATCAGTTTGTTTTCCTTTAGTGCATTGAGGCATGTCTCATACATCACATTAATGTAACCTAAGAAATACACAGTAAAAATACAGTGAAAATACATSACAATTCTTTCARTGAAAAGCAAAGTAAATGAATTACCAAAATTTTGCTGTACTTTTACACTTTTCAAGGTAGCCTCCCCATCCTTGAACTTAGGATATACAACCTTTASTTTTTCAGTGCCATCAGCATTCTCTTTGACTTCACGATGTAGGTTATAATTGAAATGAGCTGCAGCTATGATGTGCCTGTATGATTGATTGTTAATAAATTTAAAAGAGAACTGATTGCAGAAACTAGTGGGTTAAGATTTAGCACAAAGTTCTAAGCAGTCTGAACATGTTTGTGTGGAACTGAACATGAATTGATAAAGATGGTTAATATTTTACCTGCAGTACATGCCTTGGTATGAATATGCTGTCATCTTTGGTGCRAATTGGTTCACCACACTATGAAAACCTTCTAAACAGCTTGTCTGACTTAGCGGAGAGGCTTGTTTGATGCCTTTCATCAAAGAATTGTTACAAAGTGCTTTACTTAATTTCTCATAAGCAAYAGAGTCTATTTTAAAAATATAAGATAAAATGATTTTGATTAACTTGTGCAACTATACATTTATCAAAAATTGGATTAAAACATCAACCCAATAATGCATACCCTCAAAAAGCCACTTCCTTTGTGGTATATTTTCTGCATGTGCACACTTGTTGAAAATCGGTTCGTCAAAGTTGGAATGCTTGTTTACAATATGAGATAAAATGGACTTGAATTTGGCCCAAATTAGATCTCCATCACCATCTGGTGTTGACTGGGCACTCCACATTAGATGGTTTTCACAGGCCTTTATCCACTCCTTTAAATCTTCGCACCCCTTTTCTTTGCTGTGTTTTGTGAGAACTTTTCGTATTTCTAKTAATTAAAAGCATATTTTTTTTACTTTTTAAAGCTAGTAAATTGCTAGTAATCTGTAAAGTGTCTTCATAATGAAAAMGTTTKAACAAAACATACTCTTCTTAAGATGYCATAGATCAAAGTAATGTTTTATTTTGTTGAGCTTTTCTCTCATGTACTTTGTTATTGAAGTGTGGCGGTCAGTAATTAGAGAGTCCAATGCAAGGCCAAATCCAAGAAGACTGTCCATGCAATTTCGAAAAGCCAACATTTCCATTGCAGGGCTATTTCCTGCTACATTTCTCTATTTGATGACAAAATAAAAAGGGTTGTCATTTAATCAATTGAGACTGGTCATGTGCAATTTTTACTGTATTGTATTGAAATTAGATTTTGGCAACATTCTCTCTTACCTGTACAAGTGAAAAATCTATAATGAGAGACTTGTTGCAGCAAAATATTGTGTATGCACAGTATTTTGCACAGTGCCCCATACTGTCATGGCGGCCATCACCTGCTATCACCAGAGGYTCAGTTATTCCTTTGAGCATTGCTATCATTTCTCTTTGATAATTTTTCCAAAAAAGATGGATTGCTGGAAACAGTTTTCTCTAATGAAGTTTTATAAAAAAAATGTTTATAATTTGACATCGTTATTAAAATTTTAAGTTAACATAATAAACACACTATACTGATTGTACATCCACTCCAGTAAATTGCATGTATGTAATTATTAATTTACAGTATAATATTATTACTCACAGCTTGATGTTTGAAGTATGTCTTAAGACTAATGCATGCAACACCCATGATTCCAAAAAGATGGAAAACTTTTGTTGGTGAGAGACCAGCTACCAGAATTGCAAAACACAAAAGAAAATTCATTGCAGGCATCTTGGTCCCTGGCATGTTTGGCTGACTCTTCCACAAATTTCTGGGCGATTTACACATAGGATTTAAACACTGGGTAATAACTTCAACCATGGTGCCTTTGAAACTATGGTTTACAGAGATCTTGTCAGACTTGCAAGATGGACAATGSGTAAAAAGTGACTTGAGCTGGGACATGAAAACAATTACTTTGGATTCATCTTTAAGAATAGCCTTCTTAGTGGGTCTAAAAAAGATACAAGTAATCTGTTGGCTTATAATTTTTKTTTGKTTGGCAGCAGAGTATTTAGAATTTTAGAAAACATTCTATGACTGAAGAAAAAGGGACATATAAGAATTGCATTATTGCATGTCACTTACATGATCTTTTCCTTTNAGTTGTTTCTTCCCATGTTTCAGTTGTTTCTTCCCATGTTTCAGTTGTTTCTTCCCATGTTTCAGTTGTTTCTTCCCATGTTTCAGTTGTTTCTTCCCATGTTTCAGTTGTTTCTTCCCATGTTTCAGTTGTTTCTTCCCATGTTTCAGTTGTTTCTTCCCATGTTTCAGTTGTTTCTTCCCATGTTTCAGTTGTTTCTTCCCATGTTTCAGTTGTTTCTTCCCATGTTTCAGTTGTTTCTTCCCATGTTTCAGTTATTTTCTAATGATAGTAATGAACTTTAAGTATCATAAGCAGAGCTAGTAGGAGTCCCCCTCAACTGAATCCAGTATGAAGAGCTAACAAATTATTGAACTAATAATATTTTTTTTATGTAATAGTAATGAATCTGTTGACAGTATAATTACCCCAGAAATATCAAGTGCAATATAAAAATTCCATAAATAATTACCTCTTCCTCTAACACATCTGAGTCCTCTGAGTCAGAATTTGATGATGTTCTAAGTTCTTCCTTTTCATCTCTAGTCAGTGAATTATGAACATTGGTGTCTGTAATAAATACTCAGAAATATTATATTTTATTCAAGAAAACTCGTGTCAGTGGAGGTTAACGTTTTAATCAATTTTGTTATGAAGACATACAAATAGTGGCAAGGGATGCGATTTCGTTATAGAGTAGTTTATTTTAGTAATTCCACACTGCATTTATTAGCAAACCTTTTTGTTGTATTTTAGTTCTCTGGTCTTCTATTTTCTGTTTAAGATCGATTATTTTGTTTCTTAGTTGTCGGTTTTTACTCAGCAATTTCCTGCATCCCAGGCATTCCGGCGTTTGACTGGAAAAGTCTCGGAGCTAAATTTGTGATMAATAAAATGTAAATTCAGTGAATATGTGTCAAGTTATACTAAAGAACACAGTCATCGTACTTACACTAGAGTCGTCAATATGAATCGAATCTGTATCAACCACATTGCAACTTAGATTAGAGTTTGCAACATGCATCGAATCCCGCGCATCAGCCAAATTGTAAGTTACTAGTATGTCGTTCGGACTACATACATTTTCTTTCCCGTTATTCGTCAAGGCGGTATCTCTAGTATCTTCTTTCAACAATTGTCGTATAATCTAAAAAGAATCAAGACACTAGATATAATTTCGAACTGAAATACACTMGACAATTCGAAAGTTTGTTACTTACGCAACGATTCTCTCTCTGTGTACTCCTTTGGTTTGACTCGATAATGTTAGTGACTTTAACGGCGACCTCCTTGTGAATAGACGGCACAGCGTCTTTTTTCAAGCTAAGGCGTTGAACAAAACTAGTTCCAGGTATCGCGACGAAAGTGGTTTCGAAATCTTCACTTGTAAAATGCTCAGAGCATAGTCTCGAACTGTCTGTTGGTGACCACTGCGATCGTTTTGTTAACACAAAGTTGATMCACAGCCGTCTTCTTTTCTTATTTTGTTGATCATCTTTAGGGAATTTATAAAGTGCAATATTCCTGGAAGTATCTGGTACATTTGAACATCCGCCAGCAACACATCTATTCGGCATCTTATTTTTTATGAACAGTTATTAAACACAATTATCTATRTTCTCTGTAGGTATCTCTCGTATGACTTACTCCCTCTACGTCATCACGGAGACTTTTACCAGGCACACTTTGCTCGTCCAAAAAAAGACAGGAATCCCAAATTTGGCTTTTTCCGCGTTTGTTTTCGCTTCAAAATGCAGCTTAACTAACCGAAATCGATTTTGTTTTTACAAATTGTTCTTACTATAACAATAGCCTTTTCTTTCCAAATATAAAAAAAATTGGGTGAGGTGGACTTTAAAGTTTAAATAATCGCGATAGTATCGCGATAATGCCATGAGGCCGAATGACGTACGAAGCAACACTGTTATGAATGAAAACAAAGCGCGGATTAGTTTACTTTGGCATTCCCATGGAAACTGAAACTGCAGACCTTTTGCAACGCAGGCGCTACCAATTTGAAGCATATTCACGACGACGACGATGACGACGAAGAAAAGCCACTTGCATTTTAAGACGTGAGCTTCCACAGGAAGCCAACGTAATGAGAAAAAAGGTTCAAATCAGGTGCTATTTATAGTCGGGCATTGTTGGGGAAGTGATCACCGGAAGTTGATACAAGCTTTTGAATRCAATGACTTTCATATGATGTAAACATACTTTGGCGTCATATGACAATAAAATAAGGCAATCCAAATAACAAGAATATTGCCAAAAATTAGACTTGATTAAGTTTATGAAATTTAATTGTAAATTCAGTAGATAATATTTGTTATTTATCTATATTTATATCACTCTCTATAGCTCCAGATAAACCGCCTCACCATGTCAAAGCGGGGAGACATAAACCATCGAGTTCGAGTTCGAGTTCGGGTCAGACTTGGGGTTGGATTTGGAGTTGGGATTTGAGGTGAATATAATGTAGATATTGCGTATTAGATGTAGAATAGTGCTAAATTGAGTACAAATGGGTCATCTATTATAATGATTTTTTCTTCTAAATCGCAGAGTGCAGGGTTAGCCTTAACACAATTTAATGGTAAATAGTGGAAATAGCCGATTTTCGTGATACTTGGTAGCGCCCGACTGGGACCGAATTTATAGCCTCAGAACGAGGCTTGGCTTCTTGCCGCGCGCGTGCACTTGGCGCGGGGAAAAAAAAGTAAACAAAAATTTACAAAAATGGTTGGAAGTGTTTGTTCTGTACGTTTGTGTAAAAACAACTCTGAAAAACGACCAGACTTGTCATTCTTTTCATTTCCAACCAACAAATCGTTACGTAGAAAGTGGAAAAGATTTTGTGGAGGAAATAACGCTCTTAGTGTAAAAAGACCAAGAATATGCCGCCTTCATTTCACGGAAAGCGATGTTCAAAAGTCCGTAGGTGGAAGATACTATCTGAAACCAAATACCTTACCAAGCATTCTTCGGCCAGAAAAAAACGAAGTAAGTACCGCAAGGGAAGAGAGAATGGAAAGCCGAWAAAGAAAACGCGAAGAATTAGGCGTGGACGACGACAAAAAGGGCGATGAGAAGGAAGATAACCAAGTGAACTTCACAGCTTTAGAAAATGACCATACATATTGTGCTTATGAAGGACTTGATCGTAAAGATCAGCAAACACAAGTAAATTTTTATTACGAAGAACTGAAGGATGCCAGAGAAGAACTAGAAGAGTTAAAATACGAAAACAAAGAATTAAAATCAAAGCTGAAAGATAAGAAGAGCCTAAAGAGAGAACTATTTCAAGAGGACGTTTTAAGAAACGACAATTCAGTCCAATTTTATACTGGTTTTCCATCTTTAAAATGTTTGTTAGCCATATTTAGTGTGATAAAACCACTGTGTGATAACATGAGGTACTGGGACAACAACAAACAAAAGGCGACAGTCAGATATCAGAAAGATAAGAAGAAAAAACCAGGCAAAAAAAGAACTTTGACACTGTTTGAGGAGTTTGTCATGACACAAGTAAGATGCAGGTTAGGACTGTTGACGATCCATCTTGCAGATATATATGGAGTATCTGGTAGCACTGTAAGTAAGATTTTTAGAACATGGGTCTGTTTCTTGGCTAAGATATATAAGGGAGGTCTGCTATTTTGGCCTGAAAAAGAAGACATTGCTAAAAAACTTCCTTCGACATTCAGAAGATTTCCATCCACTCGAGTGGTGTTGGATTGTACCGAGGTTTTTGTTGAAAAACCTTCAACACCAAGTGCACAGAGAGCCACTTGGAGTAGCTACAAACATCACAATACAATAAAGACCTTCATTGGAATAACCCCGAATGGAATGATAAGTTTTGCATCACCATTTTGGTCAGGCAATACCAGCGACAGATACATTACAGAACACTGTGGGATTTTGGACCTTTTGGAAGAAGGCGACTCTGTCATGGCAGA